ATCTTTTTTATCACCGAAAATCTGTTTTGAAACTTTGAGAAGCAATTCAAAACATTATTTCAATACTCGCAAAAAAATACCAACTTCATAATAATAACTTGACAAATGAAGAACTACAACAATGTATTCTTGAAATGGTTCTTGCAGGCACAGATAATACTTCCGTTAGCACGTATTATACCATACTACTACTTACTAAAAATAAAAAAATCATGAACTAATTAATGGATTCTTTAGATGATTTACTTTTGGAAGCTATCTTATGAGAATCTATGAAAACAATGTCTGTGAAACCAGTTATCGTTAGAAAATCTCTGAATAATTGTGAAGTTTCAGGAATTCATATTAAGGCAGATACAAACATTGTAATTAGTCTTGATCATTACCAAAGTTGTTTGATGTTCACTTAAATTTGATCTACAACATTTCATAAAAAATGAGAATTTGATTACTCTTTCCTCACCAATGTTCAGAGACCAAGATCATGTGTAGGTCAACAATTTGCAATAATCATGATGAAAGCTATTCTGCCTAAGTTTCTCAAAGAATGAGACAAGACCGATTATTGACGCAAAGACCAAGCAGGATATAGCTCAACAACCTGTTAACAATGAAATTCTTAACATGCTTCCAAGAAAAAAAGTTGTTTTGTCAGGGCTGCCAGTGTTGGTAAAACGATTCTGATAAAGTTATTAAGAGGCAGATCATTATTAATGAGTTAGTAGGAACTTTAATGAAAAAATTTAGATGCTCTGAAAAATGACTCTGATAAATCATTGGAATTTAGAGCATCTGTAATTAATGCCTAATGCACAAAGGAAGAGGGATTGAACACTAATTTACGATTTTGAATCGATATACACTGGATGCTATATAGGAGGATATGCTCAAACATTTTGTGAAAGCAATGAAAGAAATTATTAGATATAAAAGAAACACCTTGAACATTACAGATAGAAAAGTAGGTATATATATAATTTTTCTAATAAAACTACAAAAAAGAATGCTTGAGATGAGGTCCGAATGATGCTAACAGATTGTGAGGATTGGAATTCTTTTTTAGAAAATTTTAAAAAGACAACAAATGAACTTAATATCGAATTCAATATCATAAATATTTTAGACATAAATCAACGATACTCTATGGTTACAAATACATAATACTTAGAAAATTTTTATTTAGTACATGTACAAATTTCAAAATCATAGCAGAATATTTTTTTTTTTAAAAAGAAAAAATTGATGGTAAAAAAAAAAAAAGATTGTAAGAAATTTGATTGTAAACAAAAAATTGGTTGCAAAAAAAAAATATTGATTATAAAAAAAAAATTGATTTTAACTTTGAATTTTATCTAAGAAACTATCTTTTACATCTTGACAAAAAATATTCCTTAATAATTTTTAACCTTGATAC